TTTACCCAGTCACATTGTGGGGACTCGCCCTCCTTTTTGGGGACAAAAAGTCCCCATAATGTAAAATTTAAGGGGTGAATACATTTAAAGTTATGGTTAGACAGGCAGTGGTTAAAGTTATGGTTAGACAGGTCAATGTAATGTCCTCTGAAGTGAGCCTTCGTGTCCAAGGTGTTTACATGCCGGTACGTGTGTGAACATGTTTATTTTTTTGTCCTTATTGGCCCTACATGGTCAAAGGTATGTGGACACCGCTGTCTTCTGGTCTGGGTCTGTGTTTCACAACCGAAATCACCACATAAGAGCAAACCCCAAATTACATCTAATGGGTTTTAAATTATTGTATTCAACACACATGGCAACTACAATATGGTTGAGGTTAAGCTTTGTGTAACGGGACACAAACTCCTGGATCTCCTCTATAAAAGTCAGACTCGTCCATTCACCACCAAGCTCCACGCCCTTACTTTCCTCCTCGCTATATAAAGGGACTAATTTATTGCTTGGATATGATACAGTATTTGTTTTATTTTGGACTTAGAGATGTGACTATACTGTTAAACACAATGTCATTTTTAAGATCTTCTTCTTCACAGAGCTCTGACTGATCTCAACACCATCCAATGCTTTGGAATGAACCAACCTTATGACCCAACGTCACTATTGCTCTTTTTATTTTTTTAATTTGACCAGGAAGTCCCTTGAGATTGAAATCTCTTTTCCAAACAAAGACCTGATAGCACATCAGTTACAGTTTAACTAGAAATAAAACACAACAGACATCGAACACAGACGGATGAGACTAAATCCAGCTCAAACACAGCAGTTGCTTTTCTCAGTTACATAGAACGTAGGTTTAAATTATTCCAAGGGAACGAGATTATTAAAATGTAGTCCGCTCTGCAGATTTGTCCAGGGAGCCTTTTTCCCTGAATTAATATGCTTTGAACTAGAGGCTTGGACGCATGTGGTCACATGACTTGGACTCGGAGTCAGACTCGATTTACAAATTTAATGACTTTAGACTCGACTTGCAACTTGACTTCAATGACTCTATCTTCACTTGGACTTGAGAAGACTTGACACCTTCCCCCAAGTCCAAAGACAGTTAACTTTATTTAGTCCAAGCAGGTCAACACTTAATTCTTTGTTTGAACCAATCAGACAGCAGCCAATCAGGTTGCAGATGAAAAATAATTTCATTCAGTTGTTAAATTGCATTACATTTGGTGAATACTGCATTGGCCTTGTTTAGGACGTGAAACTCAAAATAGGACTTGAGTGCAAAGACTTGAGACCTGAAGTTGTCTACGTAGACTTCAGTCAGTCTACCAAACTGTATGCATACAATGGGAATAGAGTATGGGAACCAGACTCGGTTGGAGTGTACAAGAGGCATATAGACAACATTACCAAAGTCCAAAACACATAAAAAAGTAGCCTGCACACATGTGTCTGAATGGGATCAAATCTCTTGCAGCCTGGTTTTAAAATCTAGTTGAAAGCCTGAAACCAGGAAGCTGTTAGAGCAGCAGATTAATAACAGTTCTGCAATCACACGACGCTCAGGTGTCCACATACTTTTGGCCATTTAGTGCAAGTGTATGTGGAGTCAATGCCTTTGTGTGTGCAACATACAGAATGTGTCCTTGTGCAGTTTGAGGCCCCACATTGTGGTTTCCTCCCCACCAATCTTTCTCTGTCCTCCCTCTCTCTCTTTCCCCTTTTTGCAGTCTCACCCTCCCTCGCTCGCCCCCTCCACCTCTTTCCAAATTGACTTACACTCCCTCCTCTCTCACTCTCTCTCTTTCTCTCTCTCTCTCTGCCTGTCAGGAAGAAGTGAACAATATGACCTTTACTCGCAGCGATAACATTCTCCCTCATGAATTCCCCGCCGCTCCGGCTTTCCTTTCACATTCTCGCCGGTTTGTTTTCGCTCCCGGCGCCTCTGTTTTTCTTAGAAATGATCATCTCTGCACCCATTGATTAACGAGCGGCACCAGGGGGCAGGGAGGAAGTTGGGCCTCCACGGGGTCAAACACAGACATGCACTAAATATATGTTCACACTACAGTTGAGCGTCTCATCACTGTTTTTTTATCTTCTCCAGTGTGTCACACCTGATGTTTTTTTTTAATTAGCGTCAGTGTGAAAAGTTGCATGAAAGTGTTTTTTTGTTTAAATTCCCACCTGGGTGGAGTGGAAATGTCTGCAAATGAGACCCAGAGGTATGGATGGATTAAGCTCAAAGGGGGCCCTGGGGCAATTTATGAGCTCCCTCCTCCTCCTGCACTATATATCCTGTCATTTTTAAATAGCAATCAGGTACAGTGGACACAGAGCATGGAGTACAGCAGTGTTTCTCAAGCTTTTTACACCACGTACCATCTCAGGCCGGTTCAGCTACACACAGTTTATACAGGAGGCCGGTTTATTCCTAATAATAAAATTATTTATGGTTCACTGTTGTTGAATCCTAAATCCTCCTGGTCCACACTTCTCTTCCCAGTAGTTCCTATTTAGATGATCGATTTCTCTGTTTTTCAGCCGTTAATTTTACCTCCGTTTACTATCTCACCGTCACATTTTAGCTCGTAACTAATGTGCATGAATGTGACTACCTAGCAAGCTGATACTGAAACGAAATATTACAGGAAATGTAAAACTTATTTTAAATGACAGATTAGTCGGTCTACTATTTTGATAATCGATCGGTTGTTTTCCGGCGTTTTTCAAGCAAACATGCTAAAGATTATCTGCTTTCAGCTTCTTAAATGTGAGTATTGAATGCTGTTCTGGTTGTATGTGTGCGCTACGGGCATGAACGTGACTACGTAGCACGCTGATTGTGAAACAAAATATTACAAAATACAAGAATATAAATGCAAAACTTATTTGAAAATACATTGCAGTTTAGTATTTTAATTCAAAATGATGTAGTATTTAGACAGTATTTTTTATCTTTATATGTGGATTATAGGATACAGAGGGCTGCAAAGGTTAAACCTGATGTTTCCTCTAAATTTAGGCAAAAAATAAATAAATCTGCATGTCTCAGACTCTTGTTGACCTCCTATAACTTATTCCATCTTGAATTGTGGACTTTGAAAGATCCACCCTCTTGATCCGTGGACAAAGTGCATGCTGGGATAAGCCCTCTGCTCTGCTGTGAATCTAAATGGGATTTAGTGGTTATGGAAAAACAATGGCTGAATGGATACTCATACAGAACTAAGCACTCAGTCGTGCGGCCTGTTTGGCAGCAGGCTGCAGCGTTGCAGATCCACCACCCACACACACAGTAATCAGGTCCTGATGGGCAATCGCACACTAATCAACTGTGTTAGATGTGAGCAGACAAACACCGAGAAATGCCCTGTGGCCACTCCAGATGCGAGTCTGGTGATGCGGGTTTTGGCTGCTAATGGCACACAAACAACAAAACCTGTCTGTCAGGAGAAGCATGTTTTCTGCTCACCTTTCCTGATCACATGATCTGACAGGCATGTTGCATTCTGTCACGCGATGATCTTATGGATTTGGTTTCTGTTGCCTCTGCAGGCTTTGACTTGAAGAGCGAGAGCTTGTGTCAGGAACAGATAGGAGTGAAGCATGGAGAAGGACAGAAACAGAAGTGGGGTTTTGTCTCTTTGATATCCAGCGAGAGGTGAGGAAACCTCCACCAGGATGACACATGGAGAAAGTTCACAGATCATAGGCATAAATCATAACCAACATCTGAATCCAGGGATTAAAAAAAAGTATTGAAGTGTAAATCCATCACAGAAAAACCCTTACATTTTATGATCTTCATAAATCTGACATGAAAACCGAGAACAAAAGGAATAAAAGACCGATGATTCCTGTGATAAATGATATCTTCACTTATTTATAACAGCTGATTTACTGATGGGAGGCCGGAGCAGAGGAGGAGGATTTGGCGCCATCTCCTGTGTCAGACTTTTATTTTGAAATTAGATACTGACCCATAAAAACCTCTATAATCTCTATAATCAATAACTGTCCATTTATTATTGAATAATCATAAATAATTGTACTTATGATAACTGATAATTATAAATAGTGACATAATACACTATAATTTAATCAATAATACGTTGTTTTTTAATTTAATTGCTATATTTGTAACAATAAGTAAAATTAACTTTAAAAACACAACTTATAACTTAATAACTGTTTTATTACCTAATAAGTTTTAAGTGTTCTTATTAAAAAAAACTATATATTTAATACCCATGGTAGGTAATAATAACTAATAACCAAGTAAAATATAATTGAATAAAATAATAAACTATAATTTATTAATAAATCAATAAATCTGACAAATAACTGAAAGACAGAATTATATATTTAAGATGATTCATGTTATTACTAATACATATAGTATATGCTATTAATAACCTTATAAACTATCATTAACAGTTAGTTTTTGAAGGTATTAATTCCTAACATCCGTAATGATAAACAATAACCTAATAACTAATAATTATTGATTAGTAGTGTTTCACAAAGTACACTTACAGGCTGTTTATGAGGGATAGTAACTTTATTTGTGTGTGAATGGTGATTTTTGCACAGAACAAGCCACAAAAACATCTCTATATGTGTCATTATAATCTTTGTTTTTCATAAATAAATCATAAAAAATAGTAATTTGTGAACATTTTACATTGTGTGCAGATACAGTAGGTTTTTCCCGCTTAAGCCCCCGTTACATCACAGTTCAATCAATTAGTAAAATATAGAGGAATTAACTGCGATTACAGAGGAGGTCGACAGACGGAGGTCGACACTCACTTTCTAAACAAAACAACATAATAACTGAACTGTAACATGGAAATTACGTTAAATATTCTCAATTTAACCAAATATCTACATCTTGGTCTCATTATTTCCATCTCAACAGGTTAGTAATATGGGTAAGTATCAAGCATTTAACATGTACTTTCCTTGAAGTTTTTTGTTGAGTAAAATGCATGTGAAATGTCTGGAAACCACCACGTTTAAATCTGAATTAATCATGTAAAATGCTGTTCAGTGTGACATGAAATGGCATTTCCACATGTGATTACAGCTGCAACTAACAATCATTTAAAATTTAAAATTGAAAAGCAGCAAATAGGGAATAATGTCAAAAGTCAGTAATCAGTTTACAGTGAGTTTAAAAGAACGAAAAAAGCAGAAAATCTTCACATTTGAGCAGCAAACGTTTGGCATTTTTCTTGAAAAAGGACTCAAACGTTGCTGAATTATTCTCAATTAACTAATTATTTCAGCTCTTTGTGTCATAAATTTACATAAATGTTTTTTTAAGGACAAAAAAATAAGACGTTTCATATCATACCAGCACCATACATTAGGTATATTATAACAATAATACATAAGATTTTCTTTCTGAATCACTTGGTCAGATGTTTAATGGGTTCAGATTTATACTGTAGAACTAAAAAAACATGTAATTTAGCTTATTGCGACTAAATGAACACTTGTGCTTTAAGCTCTTTATATCAAATGCCAAATGCTCTGTTTAACCTCCAATATGGCCACCGGACGCCCTCTACAGGCGCAGCAGCTCTTAGTCCTCGTAATCATAGTTACACACTGTTATGCCTAAACACACACACACACACACACATATATATATATATATATACATACAAATATGTGTCTGTGTGTACTGACATCCTGACCGGATAATACAAATACAGTACATTATTAAAACAGTAACATAAAGAAATATTGTGATCCTGCTCCCTATAAACCACTAGAGTTGTCACAGAAGCCAATAAAGCAGCTAACTTATGGGCTTTATTAGCGCTGCAGGAGCACATCTGGGGCCGGTTTTCTATATTTGCTCGACTGAAACAACCTGTTGCATAACCCGACTCGTATTAAAACCTTATTTATACAATATAAAACCCACTTAATGCGTATTTCACATACAGCAATAAAAATCACAGCACTTGAGAAACATTCAAAAAGTCTTTCTCCACAGTCGCCTCATCTAATCTTAAAAAAAAAAAATTATATTTCTTATTCATGAGTGACTTATTTTACTTAAACATATCAAACTTAATCTTTTCACTAGAAAGTGTACAAAATGTCCACGTTAGGAATAAACTGTCTGGACTCATTTCCCCCCCTTAAGGAAAAGAAGAAAACCTCCTGACACTCTGATACACTTCCAACATGTTCTTTCTGAATAATGTGAAGCCCTTGTAATGACCACACTCAGCTCAGTGTTTCTGCTACGCTCTTGGCTCGCTGCGTTCGTGGGCCGAAAGCCAAAAACCGAGCCTGTCTGACGCTCGCTGTCGTCGGTTCATTATATTAGTTTTGGGGCCAGCAGCGGCTGAGGGGAGGGAACACGATAGTCCATTTGGGATCTCTTCTGTCGTGGTGATACAGTAATTCTCGCATAAATTTCACAGCTATCATCATCATCATCATCATCATTGTCGTCGTCGTCATTGCATTGGCTCTGCAGTACAGTGGTCATCAGAGAGTGGAGTAACAGAGGGCGAGGGATTCTTTTAAACATACAATATTGCACAATCCACTGACAGATGTGAACTCTGGCATACTTTTACACACACACACCCCTACACACACACACACACTGTAACCTTGACTGGCCTGTTTGTGTGTGTGTGAGCAAACTGTTTCAGTGCATCATAAAAGAATAAAAGCTGAAGATAACTTAACTAACTAACTAAAGAGTGACTTTGACCTCTAAAACTAGTCCGATCAGGACTCAGGAGAAGTTAGGCAACTTATTCAAAGCTCACCATTTAGAGTTATTTACAAAATCATACCAGAGTTTAATTTCTCCAGATGTTTCCCTTGAAGGTTGTTGACTTTTATATTGATGCTTTATATCCGTTGTTTTATCTGTTTATTAAATATCAAATAAACACCATTAACAACCGTAACAGACAGTTTAACCGGACGACTCTGATGTGTTTGTGTTCATGATTTTAAAACTCCAATGACAACTTTTCTCCTTCCCTGTACTTAGATATGCTATGTGCATCAATCATAGCTAATTCTCAGGATAGTTAGCAAACGTTTTGCTAACATTAGCTAACTTAGCGTGATTATATGTCACTTTTATTTTTTAACCATCTTCAAAATTTGGTTGTCTGTTCAACACAGATGAGCCTAGCCCATATTATATCCATGTACAGTAAGTGTAGACATTTTTTAAAAACTCAAAACTAAAAGAAGTGATACTAATAGCAATGGTTTTGCTGGAGAGCCTTCTGTAGTTGTTTTACATCTCTAGTGTTTTAACAATGTTCTGTTATTGAACATAAACCTCGTTAGCTCTTCTGTAAACTCCAGGATTTTGTTTTTCTTGAAAATAATGAGCCTTAAGTATACGGTCACTCTCCAAACTGTTGCATTGGATTTATGGCCTTTGACGTAAGTGTGAAAGCGTCACTTTCTTTGGTTACATTTGATTAGAAATGTTTTGGTTTCAGGGTCCAGTGAGGACACTTTGTGGTCCATTCGAATCCAGATTTTAAACTACACTGCGTTGATTTATTTGCTTATAAAAGACGTGTTTGAATGCACGTTTGCGGCTTTCATGGTTGTCCAAAAATAATCGCTGCACGTCCACGAGATGTTATTAAGGACATGAGTGGTGGGAGCAGGATGTGAGCAGGACTCGATGCTGACAGTGAAAAGAGGAGAAACTAAAAAGAGATGTCTTCTAACATTAACACCATAATGACCTCCTCCATGTTTACATTCTGCGTAATCAGTTTTCACCAGGAATGAGTCGACCCTGATGATCGCCCAGCAGCTTGTCTACATGCAAACGTTGGTAAAAAAAGAAGCATATTACAGGCCTTGGGAGTTAGATTTGTTGGTCTGGTCCATTTTGCCGCCCACCACGATTACATTTATGATAACTAAAGTCTCCTCTCTGCAGGTCCAACAAGGAGCTCTCAAGTACCAGACTTTCTGCTCCAGGACATCTTTGGTTCCACACACGGACCATACAGATCCTGGATTGTATTGATTGTCTACAGATTCTGGTCCAGCCAGTGGATGTAGTTGTTCATGCTCCTATGTCCAACGCTAGACATCATCGGCAGGAACGCAAACACCATGCAGCCATGAAAACCATCCTCATAGTGATCGCTGGTCACCGTGACGCCGGCGTCCTGCAGGCGCCTGACGTACATCAACCCGTCATCTCTCAGCACGTCATACTCGCAGGTCATCACGTATGCTTTAGGCGTCCGACCCAGAACCCCTTGCTCCGCCAGCAGCGGTGCCGCCCTCACGTCCATCAGCTCCGGCACCTCGCCCATCACCCCCGGTGATCCCGTTTCTTTGACGACCGGCCGGAAGTGCTTCCTGCGTTTAGCGGGGAGCAAAGCGGTCCAGTCCAGCTTGGAGCGGGTGCTGGCACTGATGGTCGGCTGGTCCAGGGAGCTGTGGTTGTTAGCGAGCAGGAGGGGCTCCAGGGAGGAGTCGGCGCCCAGGTACTGCAGCCAGAAACGAGCCATGTAGGGCCTGTAGAGGATGGGCACAGCCTGGTTCTGCTGGTAGGACGGGGTGTAGAAGTCGAGCGCCTGCAGCACCGGGTAGATCAGAGCCTGGACCTTGAACTTCACTGTCAGACTGTCATCTGAGCTGAGCTGTGGGACAGGTTGTAGATCACAATACAGATGATATAACTATAGCTAGTTTTCAGGCCCTGTTTACATGACAACGGCGGTTTGGGAGCCTGAAAACACAAACTTTTGAAATCCGGTCCCAGACTGTAATCTTTGGAAACGTCGCCCAGTAGATACATCGATGCTTTATGTTCCCTCTGAGTAACAACCCCAGGTCATCCTCCGCCCAGACGTGTAAACAGGGCCTTATTACTTAATATCTTCAATATCTGTGAAGCCACTTTGTGTGTAAGATGTAAGTTTACTTCACATAGTGCCTTTAAAACTTTGTGTTTCAACCACAACTGTCTAGTTATCAGGGTGTAAAATGCTTTTTCTGCTGTCTGCACTTCAATCACATCAACATTTCTTGGTTTTTTTTTCCAGCCAGGGTTGAGAAACAGCAGAAACCTCCAAACAAGAGCTGTAAACCTCTGTGTTAAGCTTTCAGATGAAGAATTTTAAGCTCTGACATCGAGTGAGATTTGCGTGTGTGCGCTTGTTTTGTTTACCTCCTGTGCCACAGCGGCTGCCAGGTTTCCTCCGGCGCTGTCTCCAGACACACACACCCTCTCCGGATCGATGCTGTAGCGCTCTAAAACCTCGGGGGACAGGAAGGCCCGCGACGCCCCTAACGCATCGTGGTACTGATCTGGGAACACGGCCTCCGGAGCGAGACGGTAACTATAGCAACAGGACATCACAGGAGGACAGAATGATTGTATTATGTAAGACTTTAAAGGGCAAAATTGGCACTTCTTCGTTGGTTTAAATGTATTTTTCTTCCATATTTGTCCCCAAATTCTGATAAACACTGTTCACTGCAGTTAATTGTAAACTGTTTTTTGTGGCAAGTACAGCTGAAATTATAGTTTATATAATACAAAGTGATTTGAAAAGCCCCAAATATGTCATTTTTAATTCAAATTTTCTCCTTTGTCACACAGTTTTTTAAGGAGCTTTCATCCACCTTTGGGAATAAACGTGTTTTTAGATACACTGTTAAATATCAATATTGGCCTTTCATTAGAAATCACAAATTAATTATAATGGAGGAATAAAAACCTTTGTTACTGTAAAATATAAAGGCTCAAATACAACATTTCTTTCTTCTAAACTCATGAGTTCTCTGTAATGTGACAGAACTTACTCCACAGACATGACAACAGAGTCCAGGTCCTCCGCCATCTTCCGACAAAGCAGGTCATATGATCGCATCCCTGTGACGCAGACAGACTCAGTAAGTGATCACGATATCCTGTAAACACTAATGTAGCCCACATATCATATTCCACAGTGATGAATGTTGCTCTTTCATCAGACTAAACGGTAAGTGGGAATAAAATTTGACTGCAGTTATTAAAAAAGTAAAGACATCTTCCTTTTCTGCTGCTTTTAGGGTTTTAAACTCAGCACTCACGTCCGCTGCCGAGGGCCCATCCTCCTCCGTGGAAGTATATGATTCCTCTTTTCAGCTGCTTCCCCGCCTTCGGCTGAAAGACCCGGGTGGGCACGCCGCCCAGCGTGGAGTCGGCCACGAGCACCGTGGGGCCGGAGCGAGCCTCGATCACCTCCACCCAGGACACCACCTGGTTCAACAGGTGGACCCGATGGCACACGCCCAGCGCGTGAGCCACGTCACTCTGGAAACACAAACACACACACACGTCAGTTATTACATGCTGAGTTTTATACATCTGTCAAAGCAACTTGAGGAAAGGTTTAAAAGAGTTTGTTTTCTTTGAGTGGCTGCACAAATGTTTTAATCAGAGGTGGAAGAAGAACTCAGATCTTGTACTTAAACGTACAACAAGGAGTTTTTAACTGAAATAGTCTCAGTTTGCCTTTATATGACCCAGATACACACAGGAGACCATCAGTGAGAAAATTGGCTATTTCACTACCTCATCTGTCCACAGGAGGCGCCAGAATCAACACAAAGTTCCTTATTGTTGCTGCATATATTCTTTATCTGTTATGCACCTTGTGACTTTCCCCTCAGGGATCAATAAGGTTCTATCTTAATCAATAATATTACATAATAGTGTATTTGTTGGCATGTTTTGTATCGTAAATCTGAATAAATGCAGTCATGTAGTAGATAAAGTGGCAGAAAATGTGAGTAAAAGTACTTCCACCACTCAGTTTTACGCCCTAAAACTTACAACTTGTTATGTATTTGTTTGTAAAGGTGATCTGGAGCCTCTCCCTGCCGTTGTGTTGAGTATTTAAACCCTGGAAATAAGGTGGGAATCTGCACTGCTGCAGGGAGAGAGTGAGCAGGGTGTGAAAACCTGTCGCACTGCAAGACGATGAAGAGTTTTAAGGGTGTGCCACTTGGTGAGCTTAAGAGCTTAAAAGTTAAATGGAACATGTTATATAGGAGTAACAGCTCTGTCACATGAGCACAAGGCTGATACAGGTTACAGCCGCTCAGCAGCCGGGTTAAAGGTCCTTTTAGGATGATAATGCAAGTTTCTCAACCCATGAAGCAAAACTGAGTCTTCGAAATTACCTTGAAAAGTTCAAATCCCTAATTCCCAGCCCACTTGTGCTCTTTTCTATTCTTTTCAATCACATATATATAGTACATAGCATTAAATTATAACATATATTATACTATAACTTGTCTAATGTAGTATAGTATTGATGTTTTACTCAATTCTTACTGAACTGATCTCTGATCTCTTATTCTGGTAAATTTACTGAATCTAATCATTTACAAATCTCTGTATTATCAAATTCTACTGTTTTCTACTCTATTTTCTCCTCTTCCACATATATATTCTCTACACCACCTTGTGCTATTCCACAAATACCAATGCTATGCTGATATCTCTGTTATCATCTCTGTGATTATCTCTGTTTCATGCCACAGTTTCTCTATTAATGTATAAAATAATTCCAATACACTCTTTGTTTTTCTAACCCTGCCACCTCTCTCTTGTCTCCTCCTCCCTTCTCTCTCTCTCTCATCAACCTGTCCTCCTCTGCTCTCCTGTCGGTGCATCCTCCGGCTCTCACCGCCTTCATGAAGCTCCGGAACAGCGCGTCCAGCAGCATCAGCTTCCAGGGCTCGCTGACGCCGCTCGGTAGCGGCAGGTAGACGAAGTAGGCGGCCGCCGACAGCAGCACGGCCCCGGCCAAAGGGAGCCTCATCGCGGCGGACTGTGCTCGCCTGAGAAGCCCCACGGTTCATACGGGATTGCACTCGGCCGGTCCCAGGCGATCAGTGGCTCCGCCGGAAAGCGACGAAACGCGGAGGAATGACCTTGATTTCAAAATAAAAGCCGGGAGTGAGGTTCGCGTTCTGATCCGCCGCGGAGAGAGCGAACGACAGTCGAACGTGTTCTTATTTTGGAATGTCGTTCCAGGAAGTAGCGTTCGCGTTGTGTAACGTGGTTGCTGATGGGAAATGTAGTTCTTAAAGGGACACACACAAATAAAAACACTGACAAACACTTATAGATATCTACATTGTTTTTATTTATAAAGATAATAAAAACTAGGTTTATATGTTCTTAAATATTATACTACGTGTATTATTTATTGCACTATACTTTTAACATGCCATATTATAATTGATATTATATAGTTTATTGTTTTACTATACAATATATTACTACATTTCACATCATACTATATCTTCCCATTCTTTTATCCCATACTATATTTACATATCATTACTTAACCCTTAGG